CAAGCCACATGCAAAACACATTCACCTCATCACACAATCCCAAAAGTATTAAATCAACTCCATTCCAAAATCTCATCTTCTGAATCATCTAAATCAAATCTGGGCAGGACTTTATGCATATTCCATCCTGAGGTAAAATTATTTTCATCTGTGACCCTGTGAAATCTAGAATACAAACTATCTAATCCCAGAGTACAATGGTGGAAAAGGCACAAGGTAGACATTTACATTACAAATAGGAGTAATTGGAGGGAAAGAGAGAATGGGTACCAGAAAAGTCCAGTACCCAGGAGAACAAATTTCATTAGTTCTCAAGGCTTGAAAATAACCCTCTGTTCTCTGAGATCATCTAGGCATTGGTTCCACCCTACAGGCTCTGGGTTTTGGCCATGCTCTCTGGATAGTGTGGAGGCCCCTTGACCTTGGGTTTCAGGCCTGCCTTCCAAGCCCACTGGTATGGCAACTCTGCTCTTTGGCTTCAGGCAGCCCCATTCTCCTAGTTCATCTTAGTAGTGATCCCACCCCTTCGGCCCCAGCTGCCCCCTCACCTTTCAGCAGTGCTCCAATCCCCTTGGCACACCTGAATGTCAGTCCCACATTCCAGAACCAAGCTAGGGGAGATCTCTTTGAAACCTAGGAGGCCATAGCTCCAACCTTTGAAACTGAATCTGCCCTGCTTCTAGTGTTCCTTCAAACAGTTCTGCTCATCTGAGCTCCTCCAGGGATGGTCTTTTTCTTTACTTGAAGGATAATAGATGTAGCTCCTTTCGCCCATTTCTTGACTGTAGAATTCCAAGAGGTAGACAGCTCTGCTTCTTTCAGTACTGTCTCGGACCCCTTCAGTCTAAGCTGATGGTTTTTCTGCTGTGGTAATTGGTTAGATCCATCAGTCACACACTTAATCTCTTTAACAAAAGATTGAGTTACCAAAACATTGGTAAGAGTTTCAGAGGACATGTCCTTAGAGTGTACAACAGAACCTTCCAAAGCTTTAAATTCTATTTTCATTTTTCATAGTTCATTTTTAAGTCCATCTCTTTCCTCTTACATTTTACTCTAAGCAGCAAGAAACCATGTGGTCCCTTTAAGATCTTGCTTAGAAATCTCCTCAGCCATATATCCAACTCCATCACTTACAAGTTCTACTTTCCACCAAACATTTGACCATAATTCAGACAAGTTCTATGCCACTGCATAAAAAGCATCACCCGAAATACACTGTCCAATCACATACTCATCATGTCCTTTTAAAGCCTCACCAGAAGCATAATGTTTACATGTTTGGCAACATTCTGCTGATGGCACCATATGTATTCGCTAAGACATTAGAGACTTTTCTCTGGCTCTCCTCACTTCCTTCTGAGCTCTCTCCAGAATGGCCTTTGAATTCCATACTTCTACCAACCATCTCTTCAAGGCAATCTACGCTTTTACTATTAAGCACCTTAAAACTCTTCCAGCCTCCACCCAGTACCGAATTCAAAAAACCTTCCCCACATTTTAGGTATATTTTAAAGCACACCCATCTCTGGTACCAAATTCTGTCTTATTGATCTAATGTTGGTATAAAAGAAATACCACAAATGGGTGGCTTTAACTAACAGAAATTTATTTTCTCAGTGTAGAAAGCTAGAAGTCCAAACTGATGGCAGCGCCTTTAGGGAAGGCTTTCATTCTCTCTGGGCTCTGTAGGAAAGTCCTTGTTTCTTCTCAGCTTCTGATCTTGGTTTCTTGGTGATCTTAATGTAATGTGGCATCTAACTCCCCCCAACTCTGCTTGCTTGCTTGCTCAATAGCTCTTTTTACATCTCAAGAGATTGACTTAAGACACACCATACACGAATACTGCCTCATTAATATAACAAAGAAAACGCACCCCCTAGTGGGATTATATCCACAGGTATAGGGGTTAGGATTTATGACACATATTTGGGGGGGGTTGAAATTTAATCCATAACAGGAAGTATGAAACAGTTTCCACCTGTAGGTCTCACCTCTCAGTCATCTCCTTGTCCTGTGGAGCTCACCTGGGTGTTTATCTCAGTTCTACATCCACATATGCCTCTTGGGCAGGGCCATTTGCCTCAGTCCTGTACACTGTGGCTGCTCCCATGAACAAATGCATGGGAACAAATGCATGAAGGGAGCCCTGCAGAAGCTTCTCTACCTTTAGACCAGAACTAGACAGTGCCCAGCTACCACTACCGACTGTTCTGACCAGGAACACAATAGCTGGTCTTATACTGAATGGGAGAAAAATACAGAAAACTGGAATTTTAAAAGAAGGCCAGACTTAGTGGACCAGCAGTCACTAGATGAATCCTGGAGACTATTGCCCTGAGATAATCTTTAAACATGGAACTCAAACCACAACCAGAAGTCACCTTTCAGGCAAATGACAGATTGGCCCATAAAATTAATATCACTCATGAGTACTATCTTCCTCAAAATAATTGTCTAGATGAAACCAAATGGTAAACATCTACCCTAGACGAACGATTAGAAGGCAAGGAGGGACAGGGAAGCTAGATTAATGGAAACATAACAAAAATGGAAATGATGAGAATGCTGATATATTATGAAGAACATAACCAATGTCACTGAACAATATGTATATGGAGTCCCTGGGTGGCGCCATCTGTTGATGGTTTGTCTTGTGCTGCTATAACAGAAATACCACAAGTGGGTGGCTTTAACAAACATAAATTTATTCTCTCACAGTCTAAGAGAAGTCCAAATTCATGATGGAAGCTGCAGGGGAAGGCTCTCTCTGTCGGCTCTAGGGGAAGATCCTTGTTATTGATCTTCCTCTGGTCTAAGAATTCTCAGTACAGGGACTCTGGTCCAAAGGACAGGCTCCCCTCCTTATTCTTCATTCTTGGTGGTCTCTCTGCTCGCTTTTTTGTTTTTTAATTGTAGTTTAAATGAAGTTTACATTTCAAGTTAGTCTCCCATACAAAAATTTATATATTGTTGTGTCCCTAATTGCTCTCCCCATACTGTGACAGCACACTCCTCCTTTCCACCTGATTCCTCATGTCCATTCAACCAGCTTCTAACCTTCTCTGCCTTCCCATCTCACCTCCGGACAGATCACTTCTTTTATATCTCAAAAGACAATGACTCAAGATACAACCTAATCTTGTAGAGTCCTGCCTCATTAACATAACTGTCTCTAATCCTGCCTCATTAACATCATAGAGATAAAACTTACAATATATAGGAAAATCACATCAGATTATCAGATGATTAGAAAGATTATTCAGGCTTTGTTATAAAAACTTAAAAATGAAATACTCATTTTTTGTTGATTGTATTTGAAGTCTTTATAGAGAAGTTTATGTTTACAGAATATTGTGCATAGTCCCCCATGCACTCCATTTACACCCCCCCAGTGTTTCTCCTATTATTAACATCTTGCATACCTGTGGTGTGGGGTACATTTGTTACAACTGACAATGTTGATACGTCACTAGCCTTCATACATCAGAGTTCACTCTTTGTGTTGTACAGTTCTATGGGTTTTGACAAATGCCATGTCATGTTTCCACAATTACAGTATCCTATGGAATAGTTACACTGCTGTAAAAATCCCCTTGGCTCCACCTATTCATTCCTCCTCCCTCTCCCTGAACTCCTGGCAACCAATGATCTTTGTACTACCTCTACAGATTTGGCTTCTTCAGGATGTAACCGACTTGGAATCACACAGTATGTACCTTTTTTGGACCAGCCTCTTTCACTTAGCAGAATGCATTTAAGATGCCTCCATATCTTTTCCTAGCATGATAGCTTATTTCTTTTTATCACTGAATAATATTCCATTGTATGGATTAACCACCATCTGTTTACCCACTGACCTACTGAATGACATCTTGGTTGCTTCCAATTCTTTGTAATTATGCATAAAACTGCTATAAACACTTGTGCGCAGGTTTTTATGTGGACATGTTTTTGACCCACTTGGGTAAATACCTAGAAGCGCTACTGCTGGATCGAAATGGTAACCCTACGTTTAGATTTGTAAGAAACTGCCAGACTGTCTTCCAAAGTGGCATTCCCATGCAATACCCCTTTTTTTACTTCAAGTTTAGCAAAGATTAGAGTTTGGTAATACTGTTGGCGATGGTATGGGGAAACAGGTATGTTTATATATCATTGGTAGAGTTTAAATTGGCACAGCTCCTACAGAATGCAATCTGGTACCATCTATCAAAATTTGAAGTGTGCACTTTAGAATGCATCCATTGATCTAACAAAATTTCACTGCTAGGAATTTATTCTACAGATATTACTCATGCATGTGCAGCAAGGGCAAGAATGTGGCTAGCAACATTGTAGAAATGAAAGAAAGCAATCATCACTAGAAAACTGAAAAATATATTATGGTTCATCTATGCAGTATATACCATTAGCTGTTAGAGAGAAAGGGGTCAATCTCTACATGCTGTGTGGATGATTTCTGAGACTTATTAAGTGACAATACAAGAAAGCAAGGTACGAACAATACGTATGGTAATCTATTTGAGCAGAAAAAGTCATTTGTATTTGTAAATGCAAAGAATATCTCTGAATACACAAGAAAATGATCACAAGGATTCCACTGAGGAAGATGATTGAGACTTCTCATTGTACACTCTGTACAATTTCAATATGCATTTTTATCATGGGTATTTCATTTTCCAAATATAAAAGACAAGAATCATAAAATACACGGAATACAAGAAAACAAAGACAGTTCACAGTTCAGTTCTCTGCCTTACCTTGTAATTTTTTCCCAATAAAAATATGTATATATATACATACGTATACGTAAAACACATTTGTCAATTTAACTTTTTTTGTTTACAATGACCTCAATTACATTAATCATACTGTGCAACCATCACCAATATCTGTTGTGAAATTTTCCATCAGTATAAAGAGAAGAAACTAAATGCCTGAGTCTGAGTTGACTGGAACCAACCTTTTTTTTTTTTTTCTTTAATGGGGTAGGGTGGTACAGGGGAAGGTCAGAATGACAGTCTGACAGTCACATCAGCATTGGCCAGGTACACAGGGCAGAGCCAAAGAGACATACTCATGATGAACCTTCTACTAGGTGAGTCTCATTAGCAGAAAGGAAGCTGCATATTATTTGTTCTATTGATTTTACAGGGTCCTCTGTGATTTGCCTGCTCCCTATATCTGAATCTACTCGCTAACTCAGGAGTCCATACACTACACAGTCCCAGGATAAATGTGCCCAACAGCTGCTTTTGTAAATACCATGTTCTCAGAACGTGGCTATGACCACTCACAGGCATATTGTCTACAGCTGCTTTTGAGCTACAACTGCAAAGTTAAGTGTTTGCAAAGGTGAATATACAGCCTGCAAAGCCTAATGTTTACTATCTAGCCCTTAACAAAAATGTTTGCTGAACCCTGCTCAAAACACTGGAATGGAATATAATGTCTACCACAGAAAAACAAATTATCAGACACACAGGGAATAAACCAGCCTGGACAACAGAAACAGATACACAAATGTAAAATACCTATGCTTCCCATGGTCATGAGGATAAAAGGCAGAAACTGGAAACAATAACAAATGATGCTGTAGATTTGAAAGGAACTAGACGCAACTTATAAACTTAAACATGTGATTAGAAAATTAGAGGCAGGAGATGGGTTTAATATCATTGATTTATAGTAAGTGAGACAGAGAATAATTAGTGCTATACTAGGTCCCAAGAAAGACTACCAGGATAGTACAAAGGGCAGTTGGCGTGATGGTTGAAGGGTTCCTAGAAGTGGTGGCCTTACAGAGAAGTCTTGATGTAAAATTAAAGAAACAGGGAGAGAAATGCATTTTAGATAGGTGAGGTAGCAATACAGATAAGTAGAAGAGGAATGTAATTAGATGCCGAGTTTGAAAACCAACATTCCACTGGCAGTAGTGAAGTGGCTAAAGGATATAAGTATGACAGGAGAAACTCTTCGGAGTCCATTGTAATGATTATAGAATATTTGGGGCTTAAGTCTGGGAAAGTGATCTGTGCTGGCGATGTGGATATGTGAGAGCTGATTGGGTTGGTGGTTGAAGCCAATAACATGGGTAGCTGTAGCACCTTTTCAAAGAAGCTTAAACATGAAGATCGTGAAAAGAGCTGAAAACAGCTAGAAAAGGGCTCAATTAGATTGGAGAAATTTGATACTAACGGCAAATAGTCTGGAGACAAGAGATATTGATGATGCTGGAGAGAGTAAATGATTCATGGTGTGATGATCAGAAAAGAAGGGAAAGAACCCAGAGCTGATGGAGAGGGCCAAATTCTTCTTTGAGACACAGTATGAAGGTGTGGATGGGTATGGGAGTAGAAACTTTTGTAAGGAGAGGCAGGAAATTGAGAAAGTTTCTCCGATTGCCTCTAAATGTACTCATTCATTCATTTACTCAAAGTTATTTACTGACTACTATATACAGACATCAGGTGCACAGACAGTCTGGGTCAACCCATTTTCCAACCTTCACTAAAACTCCAACAAACGTGTAATACAGTAGTTGAGACATCAGTTTTAAGATCAGATGGAACTTAATGGCTTCAACTACGTATACCAAGGAGACTTAAAAAATCCCACCTCACAGGCCAACTGTGTCATGTGAAAATTGCAGATTCCTGTCCTTGTTTAGTTCTGACACCAGCCACCCACACAGGATTCTCTGACTCTAGCCATTCAGAGCTAGGCCAGACCTCAAGTTAAAAGGACATCGTCCTTCAGACAGCCAAACAGGCAGACACCAGTTGTGAGTTTAGAAGTCTAAATGACTCCTAACTTCTCATCTCCTGGGTAAAAGTCTGGGGGTCCCTCTAAACCCCATAGAATATGAGCCAAGAGATCAAGGGTCCCCAGGCCTCTTAATTTTGAGATGTCCTTCGGTTTAGTTCACTGGAATGACTCACAGAATTCACGAAAAGGCCACCCTTACAATAACTGCTTAAATATGACCAAAAAGGATACAAATGAAGAGATGCATTGGGTGAGGTCTGGGAGGGTCCCAGTGCAAAGCTGCCATGTGCCCCCAACATGCTACCCTCCAAACGGATGGATGTTTCTCAAAACCTGGGAAGCTCCCTTAAGCCTACGATTTCTGCACTTCCATACACCAGTTCTGCATAAAAGCTACATTATGCCTCAAGAGGTTAATATCAGACCATCAGGTGTTCCCTCCAATCCTACTTGCCCTCACTCATCATCCTCAGCTGCAATCCAACTCTCAGGAACTTCAAACAAATGCCAAATTGGTGTCTCCAAGGTGGTTCACCACCTTACAGCAGTTACGAAACTGCTTTACTTATAAAGACTCAGCAAATAATGCATGGCGAATAATGAGAACCAGGAATATCACTATCAAAGAAGTGACATATAAAGTAATGGAAAATACTAAAAACTGTAGTATTGGACTGCAAGATACATGAAAATTATCTCATGGTTTTAAAAATACATACTTACAGAAATAGGTATAAATATGTGTCTTTGTGTGTGTATACGCACGTATTTCCTAGCTCTTTCCACTTTGAGAGTCCAGTAGCAATAAGCACACCTAACTCCCAGTTCTTTCTAAATATCATTCTCTAATAGGAACCAAGCTTTCCTGGAGAAAAGTGATGCCAGGGCTTGGGCATGACAAGGACAACACTATCCCTAAATGCTTGCAGGAAGGAATATTCAAACTATACTAGGGACATGTCAGATAAATACAGGAACCTATTTAAGAGAGTTCCTAATAACCAAATCTGTGATAATTTGAGCAAGGAAAAAAATGGATTAGCCTATATAAGCAGCAGTCCCTGTGTTATAAATGTACAACCTGTAGTCACAAACCAATGCCCATATAGCTTATTACAAATGAAAACCCTTCCTGCAGAAGGTCAAACCCTGCATTCCTTGTCTGGTGACTGTGCAGTGTCTGCCCACAGCTTACTCTCGCTACTTGGAGCCAGGCAGAAGCTGGCACCCCCTGCAATGCCATGCATGCAGCTGCACAAGTGCAAGGTCTATGCTTTGCACTTCCCTCCCACCTCTACCCATCCCACCCAAATGTGGGGGTTTGCATGCACAGTGCCCATGTGGGTGGCTTTTTGGACTCCCACGGTCAGGAGTACAGGAGGCACACCAAGAGGAAATCTAATGAAGCGGCAAAGATTTGTAATAAAAAAACAGGCACTACTTTGTGACATATATCAAATTATTATTACTGCATCATCATATTAACGCTGGCTTAGTATATCTAGAAGTGTTTCTTAATGTTTTTTATGCACAGTAATTTACATTATATACTACATATCAAAACAAACTTTTCCCTAACCTATGTTAGATACGAATGGTACCTCGCTGGTCCAACGTACATACAAATTTAACTGAAAGACAGATTCACAAATGGAACTTGTTACTAATTAGGAGCTGCCTGTACTATTATAAACAATTTAATAAATAGACGGAAGAGAAAGGAAAAGCAAGGCTATTTTTTGCAGAATTCCAATTGATGAACATAGAGGAAATGAATGGAAGAGGCAATATCATTTGGTAGACAGCAGAGTAACAATAACAATAGATATTATAAATGGATACAAAAATAAGTACTCCAAAACACGATAAAAACCAATATTTACATAGTCTGAAAATATTTCCCTATGAGAAACTTACTAATTACAAAGGGTAATAAAATTACCTTTATAACAGAAAAGAGTGGAAAGAAATGCATTAAATAGGTAAACAAAACACTCTTAAACCAAATTAAGTGTTTCTAATCATATACAAAATAACATCAATAAAATCATTAAAAAATACAAAACCACATTTGCTCAAGCTTATTCACTACAGCCTTATTTGTAATAGACTAAAACTTTCAGAAATGTAAAATTTAGCTTGGACTAAGAAAGTAACAAACACTGATGAGAACTACCTCATAGTTACAATGAAACAGTCATTTCTCCCAAAGGCATAAAATAGCTGTAATGACACCTTTGCGTATTGCTCCCTTACTCACTGAGAAACTTTGTTCTTTAATTGCAGACTTTAAGAAATTTGCTATTTGAAATTATAACAGTATGGATGAAACATCCCACTTATGACACAGAGTAATCTCTCCAATGTGAGTTCTTATATGTGAAGTGAGGTGTGAGGAACGACTAAAGACTTTCCTACACTCCTTACATTCGTAAGTCCTTCCTCCACTGTGAATTCTTCTATGTGTATTGAGGGCTGAGGACTGACTAAAGGCTTTCCCACATTCTTTACATTCATAAGGCCTCTCTCCAGTGTGAGTTCTTATATGATGAGTGAGGGATGAGGAACAACTAAAGGCTTTCCCACATTCCTTACATTCATAAGGCCTCTCTCCAGTGTGAGTCCTTATGTGTTCAGAGAGACAATAGGAACGACTAAAGGTTTTACCACATTCCTTACATTCATAAGGTCTCTCTCCACTGTGAATTCTTACATGTGTATTAAGGTGTGAGGAACGCCTAAAAGCTTTCCCACATTGCTTACATTCATAAGCTCTTTCCCCACTGTGAATTCTTCTATGTGTAGCGAGGTTTGAAGGTTGCCTAAAGACTTTGCCACATTCTTTACATTCGTAAGGCATCTCTCCACTGTGAATTCTTCTATGTTTAGTGAGAGCTGAAGAATTACTAAATGCTTTTCCACATTCCTTACATTGATAAGGCCTCTGTCCACTGTGAGTTTTTATATGTGTAGTGAGGTCTGAGGAACATTTAAAGGTTTTCCCACATTCTTTACATTTAAAAGGCCTCAATCCACTGTGACTTGTTATATGTTTAGTGAGGGATGATGTCTGACTAAAAGCTTTCCCACATTCCTTACATTCATAAGGCCTCTGCCCATTGTGAGTTTTTATATGTGTAGTGAGGTGTGAGGAACATCTAAAGGCTTTCCCACATGCCTTGCATTCATAAGGCCTTTCTCCACTGTGAGTTCGCATATGTGTAGTGAGGCTTGAGGTCTGACTAAAGGCTTTCCCACAATCCTTACATTCATAAGGCCTCTCTCCACTGTGAGTTCTTGTATGTGTAGTGAGGGATGAGGAACGACTAAACGCTTTCCCACATTCCTTACATTCATAAGGTCTCTCTCCACTGTGAGTCCTCATATGATAAGTGAGGGATGAGGAACGACTAAAGGCTTTCCCACATTCCTTGCAATTGTAAGGCCTCACTCCACTGTGAGTTCTTCTATGTTTAGTGAGGGATGAGGCCTCACGAAATGCTTTCCCACATTCCTTACATTCATAAGGCCTCTCTCCACTGTGAGTTCTTATATGTGTAGTGAGGTATGAGGAACGACTAAAGGCTTTCCCACATTCCTTGCATTCAGAAGGCTTATTTCTCCTGTGAAACTTTTTATGTAAAATGAGAGATAAATGACGACTATAGGTTTTACAACTGTCTTTGCATTCACGCTTATGACCTCTCACATGTGTCCAAAAGGATGAGGAACTACAAAAATCCTTCCCACATTGGTTACATTCATAGCGTTTCTCACCAGTGAGTGTTGTCACAGGAGTCTTAAGAGTTGAGATACAAATGAAGTCCTTCCGACATACTTTACATTTATGGAGTTTCTTTCCGTTAAGAGTTCTCATAGAAGTGGTTAAGTGAGAAGGGCAATTGCAAGCTTCTCCACATTGCTTACACTGACAGGTACTGCATCCAGTATGACAGCTGGCATGATGATTATGTGATGAGTGATTCACGAAGGCTTTTCCATGCTTACAGCATTCAAAAGGATCTGCTTCTGGATGATTTCTTTTTAGCACAGTAGGATTTGAAATCTGGCTGAAGATTTTCCCACACTTATTGCCTTCGTTACTTTCACAGAGGTTCTCTACTGTATGACTTCTGTTAAAAACAGGCAACATGCTATTGGAAATAAATTCATTCCCATTTGAGCATTTATGAAAACAGTAAACATGCATGTTTTTTGCCCTGACTTGTTTCACGTTTCATAGGTTTAAATCATCTAGCAGGAATACTACCATTACTGTCATTGTTTTTCTAAAATATGAGGCTTTCTGATAATTGTGTCCACATGAAATGTTTCAAATACTCAATGTGACTCACATTTGTGAAAATATTGAACTATAAAAATTCTCTGAACATGTAATTTTATATCTAGAGCTACATATACACACCTACACACGTACGTTATGTACATATATACATACATATGTACGTACATATACAATTATACATATATATTAATATACATCAGGGCTTTGAACTGGTTTGTAATGGCTCACTAATTGCTAGCATAAATGAGGGCAGAGTACACGTTTCACAGCAACCAAATCTGCTGCATGTCGGACTTTGACCCGAGTACAAAATAAACAGCTGTGCCGCGCTCAAAGATGGCAGCCAAGCTTGCTACTTTGAAGGTATGTCACTCTTCAAATTCCTGCCAATAATCCAATCTCCTGCATGGATCCAGAAAAGTTTCAGGAGCATGATGTGGGAGACTGGATCACTGGCAGGACTGTGGAGATGACACATCCACAGCAGCACAGTTGGTGTCCATCTCTGAGTATACACTCTTCTTTGAATGACACTCACCTCAAATGTCTCTTCTGGTTTTTAAGTTGATCTTTATTGTCATGTGATTGGTCGGAGATTTCTCGTAACATGGAGGACCACAGATTATTCTTCATGAACTGCATCATTATATGTTCACTGGATAACTTTTCTCCATCGTTAAAGTTTTGAGAGTCTGACCCAATAATTCAAGGTAACGTTCACAATAGAAAACAAAAAGGAAAGGAATTATTAGCGAAAAAAAGGCTGTTGTGAACAAAGAAAGAATTAGCCACATTTCACTGTTTCAACACTTTGGCAATTGTTAAAAACCAATTTACTAGAAAATACTTCCATGAAGACTGACAGTCATGGTGACATGAACGTGTGTAATTATGAGAGCTAAGTAGAAAGATAATTGGACACAATACACATGTAACATTAAAATAGGGAAAAAAAAATCCATGACCACAGGTGTGAGAAGACTGCTAAAGTCAGAAAGTAAGCTCAGGTATCTGGGAAGTTGTGTCCTCAACCCAAAGGTCTAAATGACTGATTCAAATGTCATTCCCTCTGTGCAGGCTGCTCCTTTAAAAAATCCTGGCTTTCCTGGTGCTTCCCAACACAGGGACCCTGGATGTGTACTATCTCCACTGTCCTTAGAACTTTCTCCTGCTTCTCTGCGAAAATAAAAGTGTATAGGTGACATGGTACTCATGGAGAAATGAAGAAAACAATGAAGAATATTGAACGTTTTCTTGACACTAAGCTAATGTGCTCTTCAGAGTCTCTGAAGATGAACAGGTGTGAGTTAATTTGCAGTGAAATAATCATGTCAAACTTGCAATCAACATAGTAAAATCTCTACAAGGTCCCAAACCACATCTCAGTGTCTCAAAGCGATCCCTGATGCCAATGCTTACAATTACAACATTTAAAGAAACTTAGGGCTTTTAGGGCTTTTAACCATAAAATAAATAAAAACTAATTTTAATACACAGAGCTTTGCATTCATGGGAAGACAGGATATATGAGCTCCCTATGAAACCCTGTCTGTTTTATTTAACAATTTATTCTCATTCCTCAGCCCAAATACAGGAGAAAAATACACAAATGAAATAATTTTGTTCACTAAAGGAATTTAGAAAAAAATGATGCCATTCTTACCTACTGAAGCCAGGTTTCTGAAGGTTTCCATCATCACATCTCTGTACAGTTTCTTTTGAGCAAGATCCAGCAGAGCCCATTCTTCTTGGCTAAAGACCACAGCCACATCCTCAATCACCACTGAGTCCTAAAACATCCCACACATTCTGGATCAGCAAGGTACCATGTACTCCAATGTGTATAAGAACAAAGGATCAGGCTGACAGTCCAGGGGAACTGAGAGTTCTTAGGGATTTGACACAAGGTTCTGTGATCCACGAAGACCTAGAGTATAGTCATCAGCCTTGTCCCCTCACTAACTACATTTACTTCCTCACTGCATCCTGTATCATAGATTTTCAACACACTGAAAACATTTCTACACAGTTTGAGTGTGACTATAGTCTTAATTTCTCTTTTCATGGTCTAGAACAGTTAGAAAACATGGAAGAATTTGGCAAACCCTCTCATTCAGACTATTACTTCCTTGTGAACAAATCCACCCCTTCCATAACATTAACCAGAACACTCAACAAAACATAAAGCACACTCAACAAAACATAAAGCACAGGGTGAAGCAGGATGAGGTATTAGCAACTGGGAGGCAGTACAGAATGGCAGTTTTTCTTTTTGCTCCTCACAGCCATTGGAGGACCAAGGGCCAGCAAAAACAAACTGGCAACCGAAGGCACTGAGCTGGTCATCTCTTCCTGAACACTAAGAGATCGTAAGGTCACAGGTCCACCTGGTGATAAAAGAAGATTCTTTTGAAGAATTATTAACCTTTACATGTCAGTGACCGATTTTTCAAAAACTAAGTTGTTCTGTCATCTTCTCTGTCCCTTTCATAGAGACAGGCAAAGGTAACAAAAGTTAAAAAGAGCTCAGGTGACACAGGAAACCTGAGAATCCAGATCTCCCCACAATTCTAAAATTTCAAGACCTGATGCAGTTGTACACCAAATATTAGTGACTGCTCCCTCAACAAACGTAAACTTATATACTCTCATACAAACACTGTCTAATGATGTAAGAGAACAAAGAACACAACCTCTGCAGAAACAAGAACAGCATGCATTTTTGTTAAGGGAGAAGAGGTTATGATTCCCATTTTGTAATGACAGTACAACATAATAAATGTAATCAATGTTATGAAGTTATACATATAAACATTGCTGAATTGGCAAACTTTTTATTGTATATAATTTTTACCAGAAAAAATTAATTTTATAAGTAGAAGTACAGACGGTTTACCTGTTAAATTCCCCACGAAGCCTAGAAAACAAAGACTTACACACCAGGCCTCTAGAGGCTCCACTCCAAAATTCTCTCACATTTGCAGACCCTGGAAGGGACACAACCATGACTACCTAAACACTGACCACTGGAATCCCTTGGTCTATAAGAGTGATTTGTGTGAAACAGCACCAATCCATAGGCTTCCTCATGTCATGAGGACAGAAAAGGGTCCTAAACTACTCTGAGTGCTAAACCAGAGCAGCTTTAGAATAAGACTGCTCTTGTCAGGAAGTGCTGAAGTGAGCTGTCTATGTGATCTCTAATCAGTCCTGGTATGATGGGGTCACAACAAACTTTGAGCTAGAGCCAAAATCCAAAAGCTTCCTTCACTGCAATGGGCCAGGTTATGTATTTTAAAGTCATCAAAACTCCAAAGCTCATTATACAATAATAGTAATGATAAAATGTTCCATGCACTAAGCAACTATGATATGTGAAAAGTTTTACAAAAACTTTTCAACACACAAGCTCATTTCTATATCACGACTCTCCTGAACAGACATTATTTCAAACATGTAATGGCTAGTAAAGTTAGAGACAATCAATCACATGCTCAATGTTGCCCACATGGACTTTTGCTGAGCCAGGGTCAAGAGGCAGGTCAATTTGTCTTCGACGTCTAAATTCCTGACAACTCCATTTTTGATTATACGCATGCAGTTTTGTTGTTATTCTGGCTGTTATTCTCCAGTAACACCATGAATGATCTAGAGCCTTGCTGGATACTGGGGACAGACAAAGGAAACATCCTATTCAATTCACACAACCTACAGCTACTTCTCCAGGAAAAGTCCTTTGTCTCAGCCAAGACTTCTTCCCTTCAGGCTCTTAACTGTGGCTGCCTTCATTTATGAAAACTGATTTAGGTTATACTGAAACAGAGCCTACTTCACGTTGGCAAAGCAGATACAGCAGTGAACAAAACAAAGATCCAGACGAACATGAGTTGTAAGTTCTTCTGAGTGTGCAAAGTAAATATATATATATATAAATATACACATGCACACACAAAATGTCAAGTGCTTACATGTTCTATGGAAAATGCAGCACAATAAGGGGATAAACAGCCAGAAACACAAGCACATTTACCTTTAGTAAATTAGCACAAGGAGAAAAATACTCATTATAGACAACTTTACATAGTGAAACCTGCCTTGGTAAGAGAAAAAAAAGATCGCACTTTCAATTCTAAAAACTTGGAAGCCGACTAAGATGATTTTGCAAACTCTTCTCATACATTTCACATGCTGGTCGACTTCAACAAGACCCAATATAGAGGCACTGGAGTGAATTGGCTTCACTAACCTTCCTGCCCAAGAAAGGGAAGATATATTGCTTGTACCCAGAAAGATAAACGTCATCAACAGTAAGAAAAACATATAATTTGGGGAAACTGGAAAAACGAAAATACCATAAATGAATAGTACAAAGAAAGTAACATAAAAATAAAGATTATAGTATGAGAGAAAACACAAATGAAGACTTCCACTTTCTGATTTGATATATAAGGAGCTTGGAAGTTGTCACTCCCCTCCTCCCAAGAAAAAAATCTAAACATACTGAACTCAGAAAACTGAGGTCACAGGACAAGGTGCTGCCCCAAAACTGGAGGGACACATAAGCAGCTATAGAGAATCATAGCAGAGCAAAAATCTAGAAGTAGAAACCACCTCTAGGATCAGTATCAGTGTAGGAAAACTTAAAATGCAATTTGATTAACAGCTAGAAGCTTGATGTGAACAAACTTCAGGGTTAAAAATACCAGGTGGCCCAATCTTAAGGGGACCCCCAGAGTTTTGTGAGTTTTACCTGCAGAAAACCCATTAAGTCTTTGGTGTGACCATCAGAGAAAAATCTCCTTGCGCTTCCTTCCAGTAGGGGGAAGAGGAAAAACATCCATTTCAAAAATTTCCCAGAGGATTCTGTTCTCCCTGACAAGGCCTGCCCTCAAAGGAATCTATTTTACCAGATTCTGAGTTGCAGTAGTGAAATACCCAACTCCAGCCCCATCTAGGCTTCCTGTCTCACCAAAGTGGGTGAGAGGAGAAGCAGAAGAGCACTTGTAGGGTCACTACCCTGGGCACAGGCTCACTAAGACTGAGACTTAATCATCGGACTATCTCAGGCTTCCCTTTGTCTACACCTTACCACTCCATCCATTGGGCTCTTAAATAACGGGATTACAACAAAAAGGACTCCAAGTCTCAGACCTGATTTAAGAAGTCTCCAAGAAACCCAAACACAACAAGAAAAAAACAAGATCACAGCAACTGACAACTACAGCAAACTGTTAACACAGCCTAACATCTAGCCAGATAAAGATAAAACCTCAAACTGAAGGCCTGTTTATTTACCTCATTTGTTTTTACTTAGTTCATGATCCCTGGCTTTCAAAAAAAACTACCAAGCATCCTAAAGACAACAACACTGCATGGACAGAGCGAGTTTCAAAATCAGTCTAAGATTCAGCACAGACATTGGAATAAACAAATCGAAATTCCAAACAACTATAACATGCTACGGGCGCTAATAAAGCATATAACACGTCACGATACATGGGAAACATGAGAGATGAAAACGGTAACAAAAAAAAATAGGGAAAACTGAAGTGGGGAGACAGGAGGAAGTAGGTGTCTATAGGAACTCTGTACTTTCCACTCAATTCTGTAAACCTAAAACTGCTCTAAAAAAGAAAATCTATTTATTAGAACATAAAAATGAATAAACCGAAAATCAGATATGCTACAATATGTAAAGTAGCCTTCTATGTAATTGAGATATATAACTAAAAACGATCTCTCTACTCTAACGGTTGATGACTCAGCAATCAACAACATTACATCATCAATATACGGAAAGGAGATGAGTCCATGGGAAAAATGAAAAGTAGAGCAGATCTAGAGTACTGGCAGTGATGACAATGCCAAGTAGCAGCACTACTGAGGCTGTTCAAAGTGCACTTCATTGAAATGAAACACCTGAACTAAGACTTCAGAGATGTGAAGGAATTACCCAAGGGATTTCTGAGAAGAGATTTTTCCAGAAAGAGAAAAATGTGTTGTCAACTTGGCTAGACTACGATTCCCAGTATGGTGTATTTGTTCTCCATTTTGTGATCTGAAGTGATTGTCCTATGTGTTGTAAATCCTAACCTCCTTGGTGGCAGAGTGGTTAAGAGCTTGGCTGCTAACCAAAAGGTCAGCAGTTCGAATCCACCAGTCACTTCTTGGAAACCCTATGGGGCAGTTCTACTCTGTCTTATAGGGTTGCTATGAGTCAGAACTGACTCTACAACAACAGGATCAATCGATCAACCAATGATATTAATGAAGAAGGATTACAAACAACTATGTTAATGAGGCAGGACTAAATCTACAGAATTAGGTTGTATCTTAGTCAATTTCGAGATTTTATAAAAAGAGAGAAGCAATCAGAGGGGAAAGGGACCTAATGCCACCAGCAAGAAGTTCCTGGGGCAGGGCATGTCCTTTGGAACAAGAGTCCCTGTGCTGAGAAGCTCCTAGACCAGGGGAAGACTGATGACAAGGACCTTCCCCAAGAGCCTACAGAGAGAAAAAACCTTCCCCTGGAGCTGGTGCCCTGAATTCGGACTTCTAGCCTCCTAAACTGTGAGAGAATAAATTTCTGGTTGTTAAAGCCTTCCATTTGTGGTATTTTAGTTAAAGCAGTACTAGATAACTAATACAGTCAGCCTCTGTAGCCTGTGAGTCAGAGGCCTGCCATCCGACCTGCTGTTCTTGCGTTCATCAGCCCTGTAGCTATGTGAGTTAGAAGCCTCCAGCTGATGCCTGATCACAGACTGGGGACTTTCGAGCCTCTACAACCAAG